GTTCATCAAGTATACAGTATAACTGCCGAGGCTTTTTTAAGTAACACAATTATAAGCATAAGTAGTACTTGCAAATCAAAACAATTAAATATATATTTTTTCAATAAACCACAACAATTAAATATTAAGAGGCTATCTAGATTATTTTTTTAAAATAGTTAATAGTTAATAATTAGTATTTAATAACTAATAATGGTTGATATTTATAATTTAAAATATTTAATTTATTTAATTAAAATCAATAATTAATAATTATTTTTAGAAATCAAAATAAATACCCCTTAACACATAATTGGAAAAAAATATATAGAAAAATTGTTTCTACCACATGGTCAAGTTGAATTCACCATCTTAAAATTGTACACTCTCAAAATTATAGTCTCAACTTTTATATTTTTAATCAAATATCTCATTAGTCCAATTATTAAAGTCTTGAGATTATTTTTATAAGGGTGTTTGTTTCGGAAATTGAAAAATAGTTATTAGCAATTGATTTTAATCAAATAATTCAAATATTTTAAACTATAAATAATAATAATTATTAATTATTAAATATTAACTATCAACTATATTAAAATAATCAATTCAAACACTCTCATAATATTTTTTTTTTTTATTGTTATGAAAGAATGTTTTGTCATCAAATGCAATTTGAATCAATACTTGTGATGTCGGTATTGTAGGACCAATATTTATTATCTATTATTATAATTTTAATTAACATTTTGTATATTATAATTATGAAAGTATTTTACAATTTGAATTAATCTAAACTATAAAATATTAACCATTCGATAAAAGTTGGACTCAATATTGGGAGCCATCTTTCATAAAATAATTCTTATTTTACAGTTCATATTAGTTTAGACTATAAAACAAAATTTTCTTATAATTATGCAAATGTACCAAAATTTTTAAAATTATTGAACACTAAATAGATTTCATTAGTAGACATAACTAAGTAGTCAATTATTAAATTTTGAAAATTTGTCAATCAAAAAACAATTTTTTTTTTTACTAATTAAGACTACTACATTTCAAAATTTTCTAGCAAAAAATATGACTTTTGTAATTTTAATAAAGAAAGATTGAATGGACGACTTTGATTACAAACTTTTCTAAAGTGGTAGTCTTGATCAAAGAGTATAATGAATACACTTTTAGCCATAAATTTGTATTAAAATAAAAAAAATTGACTTATCATTTATTAACTGGTTAATTAAATTTATTTACATGATAATAATATTTAAATTAAGATCAAATTTTATATTTTTTTTATATAAATTAATAATAAAAAAATATTCTTAACATATACTTTTAGAATAAAGCTTAGAAAAATCAAAAAGTCATATTCTTAATTAAAAAAATTTTACAAGCTTGTGTTTTTATTAGTACTAAATTGCATTAACTTTTTCTATCACAATTTCAAATTATTTAAAACCTTTGTAAGGTGATAGCTTTAATTAATGTATTAAAAAAGTCATATTCTTAAATAATAATCTTAAAATTTTGAAAGATCATATTTTTATTTATAAAAAAATCACATTAATTTTTTTCTTTCACGATCGCATTAACAAAATCTTATCAATCTAGAATATGCTAGTATGAGGTTGGGTGACTTTGCAAGAAAATAAAAATAAATGAAAAATGTAAGTAATTAACAATTAAAAATGAAAGAGAGATGACAAAAAGGAAAACCAGATTGCAATATCAGAAGTCCTCGGAATCCTTTGCAAATGGTACTTGCATCTCTACATTTTCCATAAATTCTCTCCCTTTACAATAAAACAAACATTTTTCCCTACACAACACAAAACTAATTCTTCTTTGCCTGCATTACACGTGACGGCCACTTGTTGATTTTAGGGGTAGGTCATAGGCTATGGTTTACATCCCATATTTTAAATTCAATACCCTCGTTACACATTAATATCTTTAATACATTAACACCTTCAATTATTGCCCTTCTTAAAAAAATATATATATTCTCCTTCGCTTATATTCGGAAAAAGGTCAAAAAAAAAAAAAACCAATTCACTTTTAGGTGGCTTCTTCTACGAAAAAACATAGTAGTAAACTTTTTCAAAAAGAAAACTATTCTAAAAAAAGCTGAGAGCTTTCCGTTTTACTTCTCATAAAAAGGTGTATTACTTCCTAGTTCCTACCTGGCTATTTCATATTTTACTTCTATTTTGTCCTGGGGTATTTTGCTTATATTTAGTTTGCATCAGATATAGGAAGGTAGAAAGTGAGGATGAAAAGGAGAAAGGAAGGGGAAACAGGGAGGTTCTTGTGAAGGAGGGGAGGGGAAGGGGATCTCATCTTTCCTTTTCGCGTTGAATAGTTATTGTAATTCTCTTCTTTTATTGTGGGATAGATAGAGATACTGCACACACCAAAAAAAAAAAAAAAAAATCCCAACTTGAAAAATCAGAATTGAAAAAGAGAAATCGAAACTAGAAGCAGAGGATATAATCTGTTTTTCTTGTTGAGTTGTTTGGGGGTCGGAAAAGCCCTGGTTTGTGATTCATTTCGACTTTTCTGGGGTTCAAACCGTGGCCGGAGCAGTTTTCTTGGTGGAGAACTTGGACAGACATCCCAAATTCACATTTTTGTTTGGAGGAAAACGGAAAGGAGAAGAATTGAAATTTGCTCAGGAAGGAATTTGGGAAGATGAGAGCGGGTTTGAGTACGATCCAGCAGACTCTGACGCCAGAGGCGGCGAAAGTTTTGAACCAGTCGATTGCGGAGGCAAGTCAGAGGAGCCATGGGCAGACTACGCCGCTGCACGTGGCGGCTACGCTTCTTGCTTCCCCTTCTGGGTTCTTCCGTCAGGCTTGCATCAAGTCCCACCCCAATTCTTCGCATCCCCTGCAGTGCCGTGCTCTGGAGCTCTGCTTTAGCGTGGCGCTAGAGCAGATATCCACCGCCCAGAACGCCAGTCCCGGGCTCGACCCACCAATTTCTAATGCACTCATGGCCGCGCTCAAGCGGGCACAGGCGCACCAGCGACGGGGATGCCCGGAGCAACAGCAGCAGCCGCTTTTGGCCGTCAAAGTTGAGCTCGAACAGCTAATTATATCGATTCTTGATGACCCAAATGTTAGTAAAGTGATGCGCGAGGCGAGTTTCTCGAGTACTGCCGTGAAGACGACAATAGAACAGTCTCTGAATTCATCAACCTCCACCTCGGCGAACTCGAGTCCTATCGGGTTGGGGTTCAGGTCGGTGGCTGCCGCCGTGCCTTCTCCAAGTCGGAATTCGTATCTGAATCCTAGGTTGCATCAAGGGGTCGCGGTGCAATCAGGGCAGCAGAGGAGCGATGAGGTGAAGAGGGTAGTGGATATTTTGTTGAGGACTAGAAAGAGGAATCCGGTATTGGTGGGCGAGGCGGAGCCAGAGTTGGTGGTGAAGGAGATACTGAGGAAGATTGAAAACAAGGAGATAGGAGATGGGGTGCTGAGAAACGTTGAAGTTGTTCATATGGAGAAGGATTTTGCATTAGAGAAGTCGCAAATGGTGTCCAAAATCGAGGACTTGGGTGACCTGATTGAGGCGCGGGTGAGGAATTCGGATTGCGGAGGGGTAATTATTGATTTGGGGGACTTGAAATGGCTGGTGGAGCATGTGGGATTCGGAGTTGCGTCGGGTGCAGGCGGAGGGGTGCAGCAGCTGGTGGTATCAGAGGCAGCAAGGGCGGCCGTGGCAGAGATGGGAAGACTGTTAGTGAGATTCCGAGAGGGCAGCAGTGGTGCTAGTGGTGGTGGGAGGGTGTGGTTGATCGGAACTGCTACTTGTGAGACTTTCATGAGATGTCAAGTTTATCATTCTTCAATGGAGAATGATTGGGATCTGCAGGCTGTGCCTATTGCTGCCAGGGCACCTTTACCAGGATTGTTTCCCAGGTATTTTTGAGTTTCTTAAGTTGATTAGATCGTTTTGATGCTTAAGTTTTGCCTAATTTAGCTTCAAGTTTTCTGATTCTTATTGAAATTTTGGGTTATAAATCCGTGAGAATTTTATTTGGATAATATGCTTGAGTTTAGCATTCAGATACCAAATTCTGAATTGATTGAATACTGTATTGTGAATGTATTAAGAAGAAAAAGAAATGATAGCTATGTTTAGAATCTCTATTTCTGCTTCAGAATTAGATTTTATTCTTGTGGAGAGCTTATTCTGATCTTGTTTCTATCTTTTCGTATATACTAGTGTGTCGCTTGTTCTTATTTACTGGTTTTATCGAACTGACTTCGCTTAATCCAGGCTTGGGAGGCTCAGTTTCCTGTTCTGCTTGTGGTACTGTCATAGCTTATAAATTGCTTCTTGCTGTTCAGGTTTGGTAGTAATGGGATACCGATCAACTCGGTTGAGTCCTTATCCCCTTTGAAGGGATTTGCAACTGCGACAACTGCTCAACCAAGATGTCTCTCTGAGAACGTGGATCCTGCTAGGAAGATAGGCTGTTGCCCTCAGTGCACACAAAATTATGAGAAAGAGCTAGCAACACTTGTAGCTCCAAAGGAGTTTGAGAATTCCTCTCCAGAAGCAACTCAACCAACACTGCCACAGTGGTTGCAGAATGCCAAGGCCCAGGGCAGTGATGGAAGAACATTATCTCAGGGACAGGTGAGCGAAGTTTAAAAATGGAAACAAAAAATGCTGCATTAGATGTTTTGTGTGGATCTGAATTTTTAAGCTTATTCATATTGCTGTGTTTTACAGACAAAGGATCAAGAGATGCTCTGGAAGCAGAAAACTCAAGAGTTACAGAAGAAATGGAATGATACATGCCTCTATCGCCATCCTAATTTTCATCGATCCAATCTAGGCTCTGAGAGATTTGCTTCCCCTGCTCTTTCAATGACGAGCCCATACAATTCAAACCTGATTGGTCGTCAGCCATTCCAACCCAAATTCCAACTGAACACAGTGCAGTTGAACAGTAATCTGGTAGCCAACCAACCAATTGAAAGGGCAAGTACGCCTCCTGGAAGTCCTGTAAGAACAGACCTGGTTCTTGGCCGATCAAAGGTCAGTGAGATTACATCTGACCTAACGCCTAAAGAGAGTGTGAGGGACTTCTTAGGCAGCATATCCTCTGAACCTCAGAAGAAGTTCAATGAATTGGCAAGCGATAAGTTGTTAGATCCGGACTCTTACAAGAAGCTACTTAAAGGTCTTCTGGAGAAGGTGTGGTGGCAGCGGGATGCAGCATCTGCTGTGGCTACAACTGTGACAAGGTGCAGGTTAGGCAATGAAAAGAGACAGGGTGCTGGATCAAAGGGCGATGTTTGGTTATTATTTTTGGGCCCTGACAGAGTTGGCAAGAAAAAGATGGCATTGGCTCTATCTGAGCAGGTATGCAGGGCCAGTCCTTTTGCAATATGTCTTGGTTCAAGACGCAATGATAGGGAATCTGATATGAGTGTCAGGGGTAAAACGGTGCTGGACAGAATAGTGGAGGCAGTAAGGAGGAATCCTTTCTCAGTAATAATGCTTGAAGATATTGATGAAGCTGATATGCTAATTCAAAGTGGCATAAAACGAGCAATAGAGACAGGGCGACTTGCTGATTCCCATCATCGTGAGATCAGTCTAGGAAATGTTATCTTCATTCTCACTGCAAATGGGCTGCCGGATAATCAGAAATTCTTATCAAATGGTATTTCTCTTGATGAAGAGAAGCTTGCCAGTATAGGAAGTTGCACTTGGCAGTTAAGGCTATCCCTGTGTGAGAAAACTTCTAAGCGCCGAGCTGGGAGGCTACATGAGGAAGAGAGGACAACAAAAACAAGAAAGAAATCTAGTTCAGGACTCTCATTTGATTTGAATGAGGCTGCTGATATTGAGGAAGATAAAGCAGATGGCTCTCACAATTCCAGCGACCTCACAGTTGATCATGAAGAAGAACTCAGACTCACCAACAGGCTAATGTCCAACTCAACATCATCAGTATCCAGTGAGCTGCTCAATTCTCTAGACGATACCATTGTCTTTAAGCCTGTTGATGTTGGTCCCATTAGACGGGACATAGCTACCTCCATAACCAAAAAATTTTCCAGCATTGTCGGAGACAGGGTATCAATTGAAATCCCAGATGAAGCTCTAGTAAAAATCACATGTGGGGTATGGATAGGGCAGACGGGATTGGAAGAATGGACAGAGAAAGTACTAGTTCCAAGCTTGCACCAGCTCAAATCACGGGTACCTGAAACACCAGATCAATCACTGGTTGTTAGGCTCGAACTTGATAGCGAATCTGATAATCCAAGTGATGACAATTGGCTTCCCAGTAGTATCAAGGTGGCCATTGAGAAGCTCTAAAGGTCAGTGAAGGGAAAAGAGCGGGGTGATACCTGGTGTTTCCTCTTGTTGGATAGAGTTGTAATTTGTAAATATGATCAACTGTTTTTGGCGGGGAGGGAATGACGGTTAAGTAGTAAAACGGGTAAAAACGGTTAGGGGAGGAGAGGGATACTTTGATAGGATTTAAAGGTACGTTCCACCATTTAGTAGCAGGGAATGTCTCCCTCCCTCCTATTGTTACTAATATTATTCGAATTCTTCAGACCTTTTCTTTTCCATGTTTAAGAAGGAAATTATACTAATATTTTTGTCATAGATGTTTATTTAGTAATAAAAAGATAAGAGGCATTCCTCTTAATTTGTTTTTTAGCAACATGAGTTTGCTTGGATTAGCAATGATTTTTTGTAGAGAAATAAAAGAAAATGAATTGAAAATCATGGGGAGGACCCAAAAATTTTGGATGTCATGAATCACCTTATTAAAATAAGTAATGCTATATATTCTTGGTGTGAGTCCAAATGTACAAGTGGTTCTCATTTCATTTGTCGATCGTTTTAAATTTTTTCTCAAACCCAATCATAGTTTGAGTGCAATTCTACAATTTGTAGAGTAGCATTTTTCTTAAATTTTTTTTTTCAAACCGTTTACAATTGGAGAGATTGGGGAAGACGAATTTTTCAAGGCATAAAGAGGAATCGAAATCTTAATTTTTCAAATAGTTTATAATTTGAAAAATGAAAAAAAAAAAATTTTTTTTTCAAAGTATTAATAAGAATTGAAATTCTAACCAACTAATTCAAATATCTTAAAATTTGAAAATAAACTATCTTAAGTAAGATTCATTTCTTTAAAATTTCGGTACATACAAATCTCGAAAATTTCATGAATGAAGATTGTACTGGTGGAAAGATTTCAGTTCTTAACAACCAGTATATAATCTGTATTACACAATTAATCCAACCACGTGGCTTAATGTCTGGATAAGGACAACCAAATTATTTTGAGGACATAAGAATTTGAGAAAGCACAAATTCCCAAAAGTAGGTTCCTTTTAATGGGAATTTTTTTTTGTTTGACATTTTTGGAAAGAGTTCCCACCTTTAGAATGTGTTTACTGTTAATCTCTAATGGTAGGCAGATTTGTAATGCCAAACCATCCACCTTATTTGAACACTGCTTTTCAAAAAAAAAAAAAAAAAATTATTTGAACACTGCCAAACCAAGAATTTTTCTGCGAGCAAGTTATGCAAGAGGATATCGATATTCCCATTTGAAACTGTAAATTTTGACATCAAATCTTTGATGCGGAAAGAGTTAGAAAAACAATGGAAAAAATTACATCTCCTTGTACCAAAAACTGAAGCTTTTATGTTTGAAATCACATATTTTTTTATCAAAAAATTAAAAAGAATTCTATTAATGAAATAGCAAATATGCATTTGAGATCACATATTAATTTAATTCACTTTGACAAAAGTTACTATTGATAAAATTTGAACTTATCATTTAAAGATACTAATTGCTAAGAATTTCATTTAATTACTGAATCAAAACTCTATTGACTTTGAATTTAAATTTTTTTTCTCTTGAGTCAAGCCTTTCAAGTTCAATAATTCATCACAAAACTTTAAGTGTTTAAGTATAACTAGTTAAGAGTTCGAATCTCACTAACGATTTAAAAAAAAAAAATCTCTCTCTTCCAAATTCTCCCATGTTCAAAAAAAACTTTTTTCTTTTTTCTTTTTTTCTCTTGTTTGCACAAGGAGCAAAGTTAAAGCTGAAAGCAAACAATTAAAGAAGATACAAAAGCATCGCATCGCCTAAAATGAAAGAGCCTTCTAGATGGTTAGCAATGGCATGGATAAGAGATATAACAACCAAACATCTTTTTTTGGTTATTTTTTGGTCAACTAACAAACATGGTTGTGCATACAAGCTTAAAATGGCAACTTGTTTTAAACATGTTGCCCCAAATTAAGAAGTCCATTGTTCTTTTATTTCCATTTTCAATTGTCTATGCCAACTCTCATTCAATCTTGCTACCCCTCCCAACTAAATGCAAAAATTATCTTGACTACCTAGCAAGAGTGATATTTTCTTCTGATTGTGGACCAAAATGCAAAGATGATGCCAAATGCTTCACGACAAGTCTTATGTCCCCATGGAAACCTTGCATGTGTTTTCATTTTCATTTATTGGGTAAGGGTATTAACTCTGTCCTAAGGGAATTAATGGTTTGGATATTGCAGGTCATTTGTTATATGGCTATAAAAGAATTCAAGTGGAATGCAATGAGATTTCATTTTCATTTCAATTTGGGCAAGACAAGGGATCATCGGCTAGGAACTACTACTAATAAAATGGATAAAGGCACGCTTTCAAGTACCAACAAACATGTGTTAGCTCTCATTTATTAGCATTCCCCCTACGATTTCCTATCCTTCAATTGCAACCTTTTAATTTTAATTCTTTTCAACACCATTTAATTTTAATACATTTTTGAGTTTGAAAATAAATTTTTTTAATTTATACCTTAAGAATGTATTAATTATATATCTTTACAATTAATGCTTTTCATTTTAATTCTTATCAACACAATTTCATCTTAATAAATTTTTGAGTTTGAAAATAAAAGTTTTTTTTTAATCTATATTTTAAGAATATATTAATATATATTTTTACAATTAATTTATATAGAAAAAATAGAAGTTAATTTTAAATTTATCAACTATCAAATTAAAATCATCCACATGGTTCGGTGTTAAAAATAATGTTTGTTTTAATATTTTACTATACAAATTTATTACAAAAAGAT